AAAATGTGATACTCATGGTACAGATTGAAGGCAATATCAACAGAGGGAAACAATGCATAATTAACTTAGTGAGCTCAAGTAAATGGATGGTGGAACAGGGTTTAGGAGAAATAAAAAAAGACAAAATTTATTAAGAGCTATGAAGGACAGGAAGTGGTGGAGAGCCATGATCGCCTATATCCTGAGGGTATATGACACATAAAGAAGAAGGACATTAATGGGTTAATTTGTTTATATTTTACTTTATACTATTTGATTGTTAATTGTGGTTGGTTGTCTCAACCCAAGAGAGAAAAGAAATAAAACAATTAAAATGACCAGGTTGCGATGAAATAATTCCATTTCTTTGCCTAAACTGACTGGCTTGGAATTAAATTATCAGATCCTAATTTTTTCTATGGAGACAGTCTTTGTTTGAGTCCAGATTCATGTGCCGACTTGTGCTGAAACAAGAAATTCATTTTCTTTTAAGTAATGTCAAAGTTTTCTTTTTACCAAAACAAAAACACTTTTTCAGCCACCTCCCACCTACTGTAAAAAAAAAAAAAAAAAAACATCAAAGAAAGATTTCATGCCATGTGTGTGTGTCTTCATACATAAATTGTTATGGACTGCTCGTTTCTGAGTACACCTGTTTGTTAGAGTGGCAAGCTAATTACTGTTGCAGATACCTACTCAGAAACATTTGCGTTTGTCTGACACCCACAGAACCAAGTTGAGGTTCATACTGCAATTGAGCTGAGTGGACTTTAGTTACAATTTCTGAGAGAGAGCGTATAATCTGTCGAGCAGGGGTTGAACAAACCTCGACTGCTTTAATGTACACTCAAATTTACATACCAAACTATCCTAAGGTGCCAAATAAAAGTGTACAAGTCATAATAAATTGAAAATGTTATAAATATGAAGGAGGTTAATAAATGGGGGCATTGGAAATATGAAAAATCTAAAAAAAACAGTGAGTGCTTAATTAATAGGGGGATGTTTAAAAAATATCTTTTCAAACTTTAACATAATCTCAAGAAATAAAATAAATGTCCGTCTGCAGAGTGAGTAGCCATAATCAAATGCAAAATAAGTAACAGAACTGTCTGACAAAAAGAATTGACAAAGCAATAACAAAAAAAGAAAAGAACGAGGCAAAAAATAATATAAAGCAAGCAAACAATATATGCAAGGGAAATTAACAATAATAAGGCAAAGCAAGAGTAATATGACAAAAAGTTCACAAACTAAGAATTGGCATTGGCACATAAAAGCAAATTCTGATAAGCAAACATAGAGTTCTAACTTCAAGGCAAGACAGACTGGGATTAAGTCATATGAAACCAAGAACCAGCCTATTTTATTCACTAGGAAGAAATCCTAGCATGTATTTGTATGCTTCTACCTATAAAATGGGGAGAGAAAAGTGTTTTGCAGTCATTACCATATTAATTTTAATAAAAGAAATTGAAAAAATCAAAAGACTGACATTTTGTACATTATGAAATTTTTTTCACCTTCAGTCTCTTCTGATCAATATAATTTCATTTAATTTTTATGTTATGTGATATTTTAGCCGTACTGAAAAGGTGGAAAAGAAATTTGAATACACATAGACTCCATCTGTAGAGTGGCCGTGGTGAAACATAAATAGTAGAATTGCCCAACAAACAGAATTGACAAAGTTCATAATAAACACAAAAAAAAAAGAACAGAGCAAAAAAAATAATATAAAGCAAGCAAACAATATATGTAAGGAAAATTAACAGTAATAAGGCAAAAAGTTCACAAACTAAGAATTGGGGTTGACACACAAAAGCCAATTTGGCAAGTGAACATAGAGTTCTAACTTCAAGACAAGACAGACAGGGACTGAGTCATATAAAACTGAGGACTAGCCTATTTTATTGGCGAGAAAAAAATCCTAGCATGTAATCATGTGTTTCTGCCTATAAAATTGAGGGTGGCAAGTATTTTGGAGTTATACCCAGGGTGATTGGAATCAACACCATCAATGTGTGAGTGAAATGCCTTAATAAAATAAACCACGACCCTTCTGGACATTGGCGATCATGCCTCTTCAATTTGCTGTCCTTTGTAGCTCTTAATAAATTTTGTCTTTTTGTTCTCTCTTCCACCATCACTTTACTCAAGCTTGCTAGGTAGGTTGTGTTGTTTTCCTGTCTCTCTTGCCATTCGATCTGACTTGTGAGTATCACATTTTCCAAACCCTTTTTCTTCATAATGTGCCCTAGAAATTTCTGTATTCATTTTCCCTTGAACTTCATTGTTGCTCATATGTCTCAGCATCCTTCTGTAGAACCACATTTCTGTTTCTTCAAGTCTCTTCTTCATCTGCGAGGCGATTGTCCAGTATACACTGCCATATAAGAGGACTGATATTACATAAAAGTACAGTACTCTTTTCTTTGTTTCTCTTGTGCCAAGTCTCTTCTTTATCTGTGAGGAGATTGTCCAGCATTCACTGCCATATAGGAGGACTGATATTACATAACAGTTCAGTACTCTTTTCTTTGTTTCTATTGCTTCATGTCTCTTCTTCATCTGTGAGGAGATTGTCCAGCATTCACTGCCATATAGGAGGACTGATATTACATAGCAGTTCAGTATTCTTTTCTTTGTTTCTCTTGCTTCATGTCTCTTCTTCATCTGTGAGGAGATTGTCCAGAATTCATTGCCATATAGGAAGACTGATATTACATAACAGTTCAGTACTCTTTTCTTTGTTTCTCTTGCTTCATGTCTCTTCTTCATCTGTGAGGAGATTGTCCAGAATTCATTGCCATATAGGAGAACTAATATGTACTTTTCTTTTTTCTAATGAAACTTTTCTGATTCTTAACACTTTGCTTAGCTTTTGGAAGGTATCTTTTGCTATCCCAATGTGCCTTTAAACTTATTTAATTATATTTAAATTCTTTGATTTTGGTATCTTTAATTTCTAATTTTCATGTTGGGCTAACAAACATGCATTTTATGTTCTTGCAATTGATATCTAGTCCTTTCTTCTCACTTTCCTTCACTATCAAGTTTTTGTAGTTTCCTTTCTAATTCTGCCATCTGTGTCATCTTCATATCTTATGTTGTTAAGATTTTGGCCGCCAATAATGAATCCTGGTAGGACTTTTAATTCCCTCAGAATTGCCTTGATGTATAGGTTGAAAAAGTTTGGTGTGAAGACACATTCTTGTCGTACACCTTTTTCTATTTTTGTATATTTATTAAATGCTTTTCCTATCCATATGTAGGTGATTTCCTGTCAGTATACATTCTAGATTATCGTAATATCTTTCCCAAATTTTTCAAGGTTAACAAGCCGTTCCAACAGTTCTTTGTGATGTAATTTATCAAGCAGTTTTGCATAAAAACAAAGGTACAAATTTTTCTAAATTTGTAATCCTTTTTCTGATATCATTCTGAACATAAATATTACATTCCTTGTTCTGGTGTCTTTGATGAACCCACACTGTTCTTGTCCTATTTTGGTCTAATTCTGCTGTGTGCTCTATTCATCAGAATTTGGATGATAAGTTTTGTTATATGACTCATTAAGCTTGTTGTCCAAAAGAGTTCACATTCATTTTGCCACTGGTTTCTTATGCAGTGCTATGAAAATGGTTCTACTTAGGTCTTCCGGTATCTCACCACTGTTATATATTACATTTATTATGTATGTAATCTTGTCAATGCCAAATCATCTAAAGCACCAGTATCTCTATTACAATCTTGTTGCTGCCTTGCTAGTGTTGCGAGGCCAATAAGGATGTCACCCCCACAAGATTTTTATTTCTCAAAGAAAGGTGCGAACAACAAAGACAATGAGGGGACAAAGGCAGAGATTTAAAAAAAAAACCAACGTCGATTTTTATTTTTACAATATGTACAAGTGTATACATCAAACCTACATGTGAGACAAGTCTGTCCCTTACCAAGGATGGATCAGAACCAACTCTCCAAGTATGACTTCTCATATAGACCAACCCCTAGTTACCTCCTATGTCTCCAAAAATCCCTCATCCATTCATTTACTTCCCCATTCCCCTTTGGTTCAAATGGATGCTGCTTAGAAGACCAGATTAAAAAAAAAAACACCTGCTGCCTGTAAAACAGACTTGTCATCAAGATTAAACCACATATTCTTTTTCTGGGTGTCTATAGTATAATACATATACTCATATTGTTCTTTTGACAAGACCTAAAATCCCCTGACTGAATCCCCTGAGGAGGGTAAGACACCTTTGTCAAACAGCCATCTTCTAGGTGGATGCTTGCAGGCTCAAGTATAAATGTAGCTTATTGACGAAAGTATAAACCCAAACACTATTTGCCTATATATTCAAGCATAATAATGACTTTAAATAGGACAATAATAACTCTACTCTGCACACACACATACAAATACATATTAACACCAAAATATTACAGCACTATACACAGCTAAATTTTTGAAGATGATGTATTTTTGGTGAACAACAGATTTATCTTTTCTGGAGGGGTTAAAATTCATGTAAAAAAATATCAGGGTTCGTACTATACAGGAAGTAGGTGTATACACAAGTATATACAGAAATAAAAATGTGTTAAGAATAAATCCATTCTTTAGGGATTACACAATTGCATACATTCACATGAATGGATATTGAACAGTTATTGGCTCTGTGGACCTCCCAGAATTTGTCCGAATAACAAACATCAAAATTTTTTCCAATCCCTTCTGGTTGGGTTGATAATTTGGTGTATCTCATTTTTTCAAGATAACAGAGGGAAATAAATAAAGAAGACAAACTTGTCGGTAAGTAATGAAATGGAAGATTTACTACATGAAGGTACACTTAGCAATTGACCGAATGCTAACTCTGCTCAACTTCACTTAACTCTGCTTATTTATATAAATGGATGAGTTCATCCATTTATAACGCTTTCTTTCTTATTTTCTTTTGTTTTTTCTTTCTTTCCTTTTTCTTTCTTTCATTCTTATATGCTTTTTTCTTTAGTTTCTTCTTCTTTCTTCCTTCCTTTTTTCTTTCTTTCTTTCTTCCTTTTTCTTTCTTTCTTATTTTCTTTCTTTCTTTTTCTTTCTTTCTTATTTTCTTTCTTTCTTTCTTTCTTTTTCTTTCTTTCTTATTTTCTTTCTTCCTTCCTTTTTCTTTCTTTCTTTCTTTCTTTTTCTCTCTTTATTATTTTCTTTCTTTCTTCCTTCCTTTCTTTCTCATTTTCTTTCTTTCTTCCTTTTTTCTTTCTTCCTTTTTTCTTTCTTTCTTATTTTCTTTCTTCCTTTTTCTTTCTTTCTTTCTTTCTTTCTTTCTTTCTTTCTTTTCTGTGAGTATAAACTATTCCAAGCCATCTTTCCTCATTAAGTGCCCAAGAAATCTCAACTGTCTGTCTATCGATCTATCTATCTGTTGTATCTCGTGTTTTCAAGATAACAGAGAGAAATAAATAAGGAAGACAAACAAAGTAATGAAATAAAAGGTTTGCTAAAAGAAGGTACAATTAGCAATTGACCTAATGATAACTCTGCTCAACTCTGCTTATTTACATAAATGGAGAATTCCATTCATTTATGTCCCATATAACACAATCATATATACACCTACCAACACATACACTTACATACATAGAAAGACACTTACATACATAGATGCACACCAACACATACCTATGAGTGGGTGCTAAAATGGTATTGGCTTTGTTGACCACACAGAATTTGGCCAAAGAACCAACATCAAATTGTTGTCTGAATTTATGGGATGAGGAGTTTTCATTATTTATATTATTTATATTTAGACTATTTTCCTCATCTTTGTTGTTATTATCACCTGATTGCCTTCTATCTGAATTTATGGGATGAGGAGTTTTCATTATTTATATTATTTATATTTGGACTATTGTCCTCATCTTTGTTGTTTTTATCACCTGATTGCCTTCTGTCTGAATTTATGGGATGAGGAGTTTTCATTATTTACATTATTTATATTTAGACTATTTTCCTCATCTTTGTTGTTATTATCACCTGATCGCCTTCTATCTGAATTTATGGGATGAGGAGTTTTCATTATTTATATTATTTATATTTGGACTATTGTCCTCATCTTTGTTGTTTTTATCACCTGATTGCCTTCTGTCTGAATTTCTGGGATGAGGAGTTATCATTATTTACATTATTTATATTTACACTATTGTCCTCATCTTTCTTGTTATTATCACCTGATCGCCTTCTATCTGAATTTATGGGATGAGGAGTTTTCATTATTTACATTATTTATATTTAGACTATTTTCCTCATCTTTGTTGTTGTTATCACCTGATTGCCTTCTATCTGAATTTATGGGATGAGGAGTTATCATTATTTACATTATTTATATTTAGACTATTTTCCTCATTTTTTGTTGTTATCATCACCTGATTGTTCTGTCTGAATTTATGGGATGAGGAGTTTTCATTATTTATATTATTTATATTTAGACTATTTTCCTGATCTTTGTTGTTATTATTGATCGCCTTCTATCTGAATTTATGGGATGAGGAGTTTTCATTATTTACATTATTTATATTTAGACTATTTTCCTATCTTTGTTGTTGTTATCACCTGATTTTCTGTCTGAATTTATGGGATGAGGAGTTTTCATTATTTATATTTTTATATTTAGACTATTTTCCTCATCTTTGTTGTTATTATCACCTGATCGCTTTTTTATCTGAATTTATGGGATGAGGAGTTATCATTATTTACATTATTTATATTTAGACTATTTTCCTCATATTTTTGTTGTTGTTATCACCTGATTGCCTTCTGTCTGAATTTATGGGATGAGGAGTTTTCATTATTTATATTATTTATATTTAGACTATTTTCCTCATCTTTGTTGTTATTATCACCTGATTGCCTTCTGTCTGAATTTATGGGATGAGGAGTTTTCATTATTTATATTATTTATATTTAGACTATTTTCCTCATCTTTGTTGTTATTATCACCTGATCGCCTTCTATCTGAATTTATGGGATGAGGAGTTATCATTATTTACATTATTTATATTTAGACTATTTTCCTCATCTTTGTTGTTGTTATCACCTGATTGCCTTCTGTCTGAATTTATGGGATGAGGAGTTTTCATTATTTATATTATTTATATTTAGACTATTTTCCTCATCTTTGTTGTTATTATCACCTGATTGCCTTCTGTCTGAATTTATGGGATGAGGAGTTTTCATTATTTATATTATTTATATTTAGACTATTTTCCTCATCTTTGTTGTTATTATCACCTGATCGCCTTCTATCTGAATTTATGGGATGAGGAGTTATCATTATTTACATTATTTATATTTAGACTATTTTTCATCATCTTTTGTTGTTGTTATCACCTGATTGCCTTCTGTCTGAATTTATGGGATGAGGAGTTATCATTATTTACATTATTTATATTTAGACTATTTTCCTCATCTTTGTTGTTGTTATCACCTGATTGCCTTCTGTCTGAATTTATGGGATGAGGAGTTTTCATTATTTATATTATTTATATTTGACTATTTTCCTCATGTTTTGTTGTTATTATCACCTGATCGCCTTTCTATCTGAATTTATGGGATGAGGAGTTATCATTATTTACATTATTTATATTTAGACTATTTTCCTCATCTTTGTTGTTGTTATCACCTGATTGCCTTCTGTCTGAATTTATGGGATGAGGAGTTTTCATTATTTATATTATTTATATTTAGACTATTTTTCATCATCTTTTGTTGTTATTATCACCTGATCGCCTTCTATCTGAATTTATGGGATGAGGAGTTTTCATTATTTACATTATTTATATTTAGACTATTTTCCTCATCTTTGTTGTTGTTATCACCTGATTGCCTTCTGTCTGAATTTATGGGATGAGGAGTTTTCATTATTTATATTATTTATATTTAGACTATTTTCCTCATCTTTGTTGTTATTATCACCTGATCGCCTTTCTATCTGAATTTATGGGATGAGGAGTTATCATTATTTACATTATTTATATTTAGACTATTTTCCTCATCTTTGTTGTTGTTATCATATTTGATTGCCTTCTGTCTGAATTTATGGGATGAGGAGTTTTCATTATTTATATTATTTATATTTAGACTATTTTCCTCATCTTTGTTGTTATTATCACCTGATCGCTTTCTATCTGAATTTATGGGATGAGGAGTTATCATTATTTACATTATTTATATTTAGACTATTTTCCTCATCTTTGTTGTTGTTATCACCTGATTGCCTTCTGTCTGAATTTATGGGATGAGGAGTTTTCATTATTTACATTATTTATATTTAGACTATTTTCCTCATTTTGTTGTTATTATCACCTGATCGCCTTCTATCTGAATTTATGGGATGAGGAGTTTTCATTATTTATATTATTTATATTTAGACTATTTTCCTCATCTTTGTTGTTATTATCACCTGATCGCCTTCTATCTGAATTTATGGGATGAGGAGTTATCATTATTTACATTATTTATATTTAGACTATTTTCCTCATCTTTGTTGTTGTTATCACCTGATTGCCTTCTGTCTGAATTTATGGGATGAGGAGTTTTCATTATTTATATTATTTATATTTAGACTATTTTCCTCATCATTTTTTGTTGTTATTATCACCTGATCGCCTTCTATCTGAATTTATGGGATGAGGAGTTATCATTATTTACATTATTTATATTTAGACTATTTTCCTCATCTTTGTTGTTGTTATCACCTGATTGCCTTCTGTCTGAATTTATGGGATGAGGAGTTTTCATTATTTATATTATTTATATTTAGACTATTTTCCTCATCTTTGTTGTTATTATCACCTGATCGCCTTCTATCTGAATTTATGGGATGAGGAGTTTTCATTATTTATATTATTTATATTTAGACTATTTTCCTCATCTTTGTTGTTGTTATCACCTGATTGCCTTCTGTCTGAATTTATGGGATGAGGAGTTTTCATTATTTATATTATTTATATTTAGACTATTTTCCTCATCTTTGTTGTTGTTATCACCTGATTGCCTTCTGTCTGAATTTATGGGATGAGGAGTTTTCATTATTTATATTATTTATATTTGGACTATTGTCCTCATCTTTGTTGTTTTTATCACCTGATTGCCTTCTGTCTGAATTTCTGGGATGAGGAGTTTTCATTATTTATATTATTTATATTTAGACTATGATCCTCATCTTTGTTGTTTTTATCACCTGATCACCTCCTGTCTGAATTTCTGGGATGAGGAGTTATCATTATTTACATTATTTATATTCACACTATTGTCCTCATCTTTCTTGTTATTATCATCTGATTGCCTTCTATCTGAATTTCTGGGAAAAGGAGTTATCATTATTTACACTATTTATATTCAGACTATTTTCCTCATCTTTGTTGTTGTTATCACCTGATCACCTTCTGTCTGAATTTCTCCTCATCTTTGTTGTTATTATCTTCTCTATCACCTTCTATGTGAATTTCTGGGATGAGGAGCTATCATTATTTACACTATTCACATGCTCACTATTCCTTATCTTTTTTTTTGTTGTTATCTCAATGGTTGTGAATTCAATTCCTTACTCAGGCGAAGTGTTCTAGCAGTTTTCAGAAATTTTTTCTTTCAGAAAATAAAACCTGCTGCAACAGTATTTTCTCTATTGCCCAAATTAATAACGAAAAATAAAGATAAAAAAATGCAAATCAGATTCAATTACAACATAAAAATATTTTTTCTAACCAGCTAAATAAGGGTTCTTGCAAAAATTCGTCCCTTTTTGCTGAGAATAGGACAACCTATTCTCTGACTAACACAATGTAAAATATATATCAGAAAACAAACTTGAAAATTACAATGCACCAAAAACCAAAAACAAGAAAAAGAATAGTGCCCAACTGCTTTGTCAGTGATAACAATAAAAAAAAAGGGGGAGGAGAGCCTTAGCACTTCAGTACACTTTCAGTCCTTTCAAGGTTCAAAAGTTTTTATCTTTTTTCTTTTTTTTTTTTCTTGTGTAGAGAAAGTTCTGTTCCTGGTGACCAAACTCTCTTCTTTCTTCACTTATTTTCCTCCCATCTGCCGGGAAATAACGCTTTTCTTTTTACGGCTGCTAGAAGGTGGATATTTACTTAAACACGTGGTAAAATACTTTTTGAAAACGCACGTGTTTGTTTCTTCTTCTCAAATGGCTCCAAACTCCACTTATGGACTTCTTTTCAAACTTTATTTTCTGGGGCTTCTTCGAGAGGACTTCTCAAAACTTTCTCTGAAGGGGAAACTTGGCCTCAGCAACTTTGATAACCATGCATCCTTTACTTATGGGCAAATGCTGCCTGCCTTTTTAGCAAGGAGAGAGAAAATGAACCTCTTCTTTCTAAGCTGTCTAACTGCTGCTAAGGTCCGGTCCCAGTTCTCCCTTCCCTTTCAAAGGGGGCAATTCATCTTTTAACTGTCCAATCACAGTCCATTAAAAAAATATCAGCAGGTTCTTAGGGCCAGTAACACAGATAGTGCCTTTTGTTCTCCCTTGACCTAAAAATTTTCAAACAGTCAGTGGAAACATCTGGGTAATAACTGAACTGTATTAAATAAAAATAAGTACTAAATGTTATACATGAGAAGTTGAACAAAAGTCAACCCCATAGATTAAATAAAGGATTCAGTTAAGAATCCCCTATAGGTTATCCGGATCAATATAAACCTGAGGAAGGCTGGAGGGCACTTCACCCGAAACGTTTTGACAATGACAACAAAGATGTAGTCAGTGCTCCAAATATAAATAGCATAAATAATCAAATTTATTTTTTGATTTCTTTTTGGTTGGAGTGAGAAGTTTTTCAGCACCTCCTCTTTCACACACTTGGATAGGGATGCATACACACTTGATTAAATGACCAATCGTACTTCTCTTTCTAACAAAAGAAACTTTGATTTTTTTTCTGTCATATTTTTGTAAAGAATTCTTGTCCTCAAATAACATTAGAATTAATTTTAAATGTCCACAAAATGTAAATATTTGATCGAAGGCAATTGGCCAAAAACTCGGTCAGTTGTTGACCTAGAATAATTTCCTGTTTCAAAATTTTTTTAAAATCCTGTTGACAGAGTAGGATGTCTTTTCCAGGCAAATCTGCTTTAACTTCCTTCCCCCACCTTCTGCAGGGGCCCAGGCCTGTTTCTTCAACCAGGTAACAACAAGCAGACACACCTCAAGTGAATTTGAATGTTGACTCAAATTTGAGAAATTCTACTTGAGCAAGATCCTGTTTGTTTTTGGACATTGTGTTTTTTCTTTTCTTCTTATGTTAATACCACGACTACATGACTGAAATAAAGGCTTTGTAAAAAAAACAAAGTTAGTGTACATAGAAGCAACAGAAAAATGTTGACACACCTATGCACATAAAGACACACACACATAATAATCAAAAAATTTGGGGCCATCCTCAGGATTTCAAAGAATTTCCTAAAAATTAAAATTTTTAAAAACTAATTTACTTGCTGACTATCACTCAAAAGGACTTTCTCTTCTTGAACATTTTTATCATATATTTATGTATTTTTTTTTTTATTTTGTTTTTACAATCAGATTTGCCCTATACAAGGCCTGAGGGCCTCTCAGGTAGAGAGTTACACACAGCTTATGCAGATATGTGTAGAAGATAATGGTTAATCCTAGACTTAAACAAATTAAGATAGTAATGTTTGGGGAAGCATCCACTTGGGAGTTGGTTCCACAAAGCAATGGTTTGTGGGAAGAAGCTGCTTGAGTGGCATCTCACCAGGGGAATATGAAGGGAATGATGCAATATGCATGGCATAGGGGTCTTAGCCATGACTGGAAATAGTGATAGAGCAGCAAAAAAATTAACCAATTATTGTAGAAAGTTCCTTTATAATTTTAGCCTTTTTGCCTAATCTGCTGAGTTGGCTGAAGGTAAACTTAGGACCAGTGGATTTTAAATTTGAGTTAAAACCTTCTCTAAAAATTGGATGCTATACACTCAGGGATTAAATAGTTTCAGCCCCCTAGCTTAGTAGGAATTAATTAAACCAAAGTATGAAATTTGACTAATTATTAAATTTAGAAAAAAAAAATTTTGAACTAGAGATTTTAAATTTGAGATAATCCTTTCTTTTAATTAATAATAATAGTAAGTAATAATAATAATAATAATAATTATATAATATATATATATATATATATATATATATATATATATATATATATATATATATATAATAATAATTATTATTATTATTTTTTTTTTTTTTGTAATCAGAGGAAAACTGGCGGCACTTTATTAATAAATATATTTTAAGTTAAATAAGTCCAGAAATAAAAGAAATATTATTATACCTGCTTTCGGGCCCGGTGGCTAGGATCAAAGTGTAGTATCTATATTTTTGTGAGCTGTCGGGTGTCTGTCGAACTCTCTGCTTGCAGAGAGGAACCCGAACGAAGCCCGCCTAGCAGGAAGGGTAGGGTTTCGTTGGGGGAGGTTGACGGAACTGTTTTTAATTTGGCAGGTTTGGATGGTTATTTATTTTTGGCTGGGCCTACGGGCTCAGAGATACCCACATTAAAAAGGCCTTGTGTCACATTCTATCCCCGTGGGTGGATTGATAAATACCATATTTTGTTACAGAAGTAGCTGCCAAGTTGATAAACATATTATTTTCCATAAATTTATAACAGGCACATTTTCCTAATTTTTTCATTGTCTCAGACTTATTACTAAAGCTAATATCCTTGCTTAGAAAAAATTGTCTTTTCTCTATAAATATGCCATTATATTAGATATTCATAATAAATTCATTTTAACTCACGATTAGGCAGAAGGAGAAGAAGCAGCAGCAGCTAGGTACCTTCAAAAATGAGGGAAAAATTGCCCCAAACTTAATAAAAACAAAGTTTTATTGGCAAAATCTTTGTTATTATTAAGAGTAAAAACCAAAGGAATTTTTAATTATTAAATTATGTTTTTATTCCTTTCAAAATTTAGGTTAAAGATTTTGTTTTTTCCTTGCATCAATGGGTGACCATAAATTAGCACAGGGAAATTATAGCACCTTTTTGTCATTCAAAACAAATATAGGGGTGGGTGGTGGTGCCAAAAGAAGGTGTACAGGAATAAAAAATAAAATGTGCACAAAACATTGTACTAGAAGCATGGCCCGGCGTTGCCCATGCTTGATTAAAAAATTGTACGACTCATACAGCACTGCACGCACTAACCTGTTTCTTCCTGCGTATAGCGTGACCTTAAATTAATCTGCATTTAGGAAATACCCAACCGGTAAAACATTTTTAAGGGTTGACCGATTATTCATTTGCACTCTGTTTGGGGGGCGCTCAGAGTTGAAACTTCACATGGTGACTCCCAATGGCCTCCTCATAAATCCGATCAGTTTTCGCTAAAAACTGACATGCGGTTCAGGTGCAATCTGGGCGTATCGGCTTTTGGGTTTTATCGATTTTCTGCATTGTTTAAGGGTCCGTGGCCATGAAACTTCTGGACTACAATTCTAAAGTTAGACTCTAAGAGGGTGTCAAATTTGGTTGAAATGCAATAATTCCTTCTGTAAGCAGATTTTTTCGATTATCGATGTTTTTGGAACCTGAGTTCGAACTGAAAAATCAGGCTGTCATGTCCTTAAGGCAGCCATTTGCAAACTTGTGGTGAAAACCGCATAGAAATCGGGTGAGAAATGCGGCCTGGGCGAGGTAACAACGCCCACGACAGACACACAGACAGACAACATGGGAAATATATATAGTAGATAGATTCATTATACAAACATATCAATAACATATCCCTCAAATGTTTGAACTGTTTGCCTCCCCGTCATTCACACACTTCTTTTTATGTTCAAAACATTTATTACTAATATTTATTAAAAAATTTAATTTATAATAAATGTATTATAATAAAAATTATAAAAATAAAAATATTAAAAATGATTTGAATAAATTAAATGAATTCTAGTATTAAATGAATCCTGGAACCACTATTATAAGACTGGTATAATACTGTATACCTATACCATATTTTGCAGCCCCTTGTATGTGGAAATTCTGGTAAAAATCAGATAATTGCCAGATTTTAATGAAACTGTCAGGAATTATGTACAAATGAATGAAATTATTTTGTAAATGTTTCCTTTTTAGAAAATCATTGGGAAAATATTTTTTTACATCTGTTCCAAGAAATTCTTTTTTATAGTACTTAATTGACATTAACCCTTGGAAAAGAATCTTCGCGGAAGACATGAGAGAGAAAAAAAGGTTGAAATCATGCTTTAATCATTTTATAAACAAGTAAGATATATTATAGGGATATTTAAACTTTCTTATATTAGTAAGGAGGTCGGCTGGAGTAATGGATAGTGGCTTAGTTTGAAGAATCAGAGATCCGAGTTCAAATTCAAGTTGAATCCATTTGACCAGTTGCCATCCAATACCGTTGGATGGCAACTGGTCTGCCGCAGAAAGGAATGACAAACTACTGTGTGAAAAAAAATCTGCCTCGTCAGTCATGTATCGAAAAATACATGATCGCCTAAGTGTGTATCACACATGGCATATAGCTGACTGACTGATAATACTGTATACCTATAGTATGTGGAAATTCTGGTAAAAATCAGATAATTGTCATATTTTAATGAACCTTTCAGATTCACAAAATGAATGAACAAATGAATGAAATTATTTTGTAAATGTTTCCTTTTTAGAAAATCTTTGTGAAAATATTTTTTTTACACCTGTTTCAAGAAATTCTTTTTTGTAGCACTTAATTTTTTATTAATTATAAGTACAAGTCCTCAGAGAATTTAAATCATTAATTTTTGTTTTTGGTTAAACAGAATCCCCAGTTACAGAAAATCTGCTCTGAATCAAAATAAAAAAAATAATAGAACTAAAACATTATTTAACTACAAAAGCTTTTAATTGCTTTTCTGTATAAAATATATTATGAACACCATTGTCTTAAAAAAATTTTTTTTTTCATTGAATAAGGAATTTTTACGAGAACTGTTTTCATTTTTTAAAATTGTAATTAGAATAATTTATATACTTTTAAATCTTTTAAAATTCTTTATTAATTTGTAGTGGTCAAGTGATATTGTTATTAAATTAAAACTATCAATCATAAATGGAAAAGCTCACTACAATTCAATGACATCCAATATTTAAAAAAGAATTTTGAATTTATTTTAAGTGTGTATAAATATGTTGATTTTTGTGAATACAGTTGTCCAAATGTGATATTATCAAAAAATAAGAGTGGCAACTATTTTGTGTTTTTGTTATCTCTTGTAAACCTTATATACACTATTTATATTTGGACTATTGTCCTCATCTTTGTTGTCATTAACACAACATTTTGGCTGTTGTGCCCTCTGGCCTTTCTCAGGTGTATATCGATCTGAGAAACCTACAGGGAA